GTGTCATAATACCTCTAGATACCGATTTTCGCGCAAATCCTTCGACAAATAACCGGTGAGAATTTTCGGCCATTTTGAACTTTAACCGGCCCCCATTTCGAAACGTTTTGAGATATTGACTTCGAGCTTGCGCGAAAAGTTTTCTTTTTTTAAGCTTTTCCGAACAAGCTATTACAAAAGGAGTCTTCCCATTTGAAAATTAAAAGTCGGGGTCCGTTGCCCCTCCCCCCAAGGGAGCCTCCCTGAAAATTTTAGGGGGCCTTAAAGTAGCTGCCTTTGACCTAGAAACAACCTCCTAGTTTCAAATCTTTACCTCAATAAGGTAAAAAGTTAGAGGGGGTGGAAGGGACTTTTGAAGCGACGATCGATCGGCCGTCCGCGAACTGAGCAAGCAGTGGAAAAATTGCGTAGGATACAAGATACTATAACCTTGAATAAAGGATGGTAAAAAACTAAAAGCGTTTTGATCAAAATGCGCTCTATTTTTGCGTGTGCCTTTCGATGTTGTGTGCGCGCGCTGCCCAACGCATTTCCGAATAGCGTGCGCATTTCGGAACTTAGCGCGATTTGCAAGTCGAAAATCGAGCGAGCGAGACTACAGATCGGGTAGAGATAGAGAGTGAGCGGTGTTTGAAGTATCCCGAAAATTTTGCAGGTGCTTCCCGTGATCGTTTTTTGCGCGAGTTTCGAAGTTTCGGAATTTTTTTTCCAGAAGATGAGGTCCCTTTTTCACAAATCCGGCCACAATTATGAAGAAGGCTATTTCAACCTCCAAGGCGATAAAAATTGCATATTGACAAAATGAAGGATAATCTCTTCTCAGGTGACTCAAAGACCTTAACGCAGGAGTAGAAAAGTTGGATGGGTCAAGAGCAGAGACCGAGACTAGACAACGGGTTCCGGCGCAAGCTCGGTGAGACGGCGCGATGCGTGAAGTGAAACGGCGCGATGCGTGAAGTATACCTACAGTTTTGCAGGCTCACCGCGATCATTTTTCGGGCAAAGCTCAAAGTTTCGAAATCAGAATTACATACCTACCATACATAGAAACTTTTGTATTTATTTTCTGCGATACGTTAAAAACTTCCGGAACTTGTCAGCCCTTCTAAGACAGAGCTTATAGTGTCCATGAAGAGTAGGCTTTTAGGGGAAATTAAACTTCAATTTTGGCTTTAGCACAAGGCGGAGTCTTACAACCCGGCCCTATGTTCATTCTCCATCCTCATTTTTCACACGTTCATTTTTCCAATTTTTCTAAGGCACGGCGACTATAGCTTGTGAGAGGAGCATGTTATCATGACGTTAAGTTCTTCAAGACGCGCGCCGAGTGAGAATTATACTAATTGAAATGACGCACCGTAAACGCCTGTTACCTCCTACACGCTGTGCTCTTTCTTATAACAGGTCCATCATTCATGCCTCACAAATGTCCGTGCATTTCCGCGAGATGGAAAAGGAAAGCTAACAAGTTTGCCCAAGTGTTTTTCCTAAATCTGTAAAACCCACCCAGACGCATATTTAAAAGGGCAGGAATTTTACCCATACAATCTGTGGTTCGCAGATGAACAATTATTGTGGTCGGTATAAAGTTTAATTTTTCTGAGGCGTAGGGATCGTATACGTCATCTTTATAAAACGTCAAGGGGTGACTAGCGGGAGGTCTGTGTTAAATTGTGCTTTAAATTGAATCAGTGAGCTCGAAAACACACCAACTCGGGTTTTTTTCGATTTTCACTTTTTTACGGTTTAGTAACACTTATGGATGGAAGCATCTGCACGTAAAAAGAAATTTCGAAATTACAATCGGAAGTGCTTGAAACAGCGACGGGAAAAGGGAAAAATCGAAGTATTTCATTGAAAATACCAATTTTTGGCCATTTCAAGGGAAACGGGTGGCCATCCGATTTTGCGGTTTTCTTTTCCGGTTCAGTATACCTTGTACCAATAAGGTACATACATATTTAAGCGTTATTCAGGTCGACAAATTTTCCTTGGTAAAATTTTCTGGTAAAATTCCTGCCCTTTTAAATATGCGTCTGGGTGGGTTTTACAGATTTAGGAAAAACACTTGGGCAAACTTGTTAGCTTTCCTTTTCCATCTCGCGGAAATGCACGGACATTTGTGAGGCATGAATGATGGACCTGTTATGAGAAAGAGCACAGCGTGTATAGGAGATAACAGGCGTTTACCGTGCGTCATTTCAATTAGTATAATTCTTACTCGGCGCGCGTCTTGAAGAACTTAACGTCATGATAACATGCTCCTCTCACAAGCTATAGTCGTGCCTTAGAAAAATTGGAAAAATGAACGTGTGAAAAATGAGGATGGAGAATGAATATAGGGCCGGGTTGTAAGACTCCGCCTTGTGCTAAAGCCAAAATTGAAGTTTAATTTCCCCTAAAAGCCTACCCTTCATGGACACTATATGCTCTGTCTTAGAAGGGCTGACAAGTCCCGGAAGTTTTTAACGTATCGGAGAAAATAAATACAAAAGTTTCTATGTATGGTAGGTATGTAATTTTGATTTCGAAACTTTGAGCTTTGCCCGAAAAATGATCGCGGAGAGCCTGCAAAACTGTAGGTATACTTCACGCATCGCGCCGTTTCACTTCACGCATCGCGCCGTCTCACCGAGCTTGCGCCGGAACCCGTTGTCTAGTCTCGGTCTCTGCTCTTGACCCATCCAACTTTTCTACTCCTGCGTTAAGGTCTTTGAGTCAGCTGAGAAGAGATTATCCTTCATTTTGTCGATATGCAATTTTATCGCCTTGGAAGTTGAAAAAGTCGTATCGCGTCCAACTTTTGTACCCTCGCGTTAAAGTCTCCGAGTCAGCGGGGGGAGGCGGAGTCATCATCCATTGCGTAAATACGCAGTTTTACCTGCTTAGAAATTGAAATAGTTGGTTGTTGAGAGAATATACAAATGGTCGATTCGAAAAAATTTTCAGGGCAGACTATGAAAAATCAGGATGTGAAAGTCGGTGAGAACGAAAAACACCAACTCGGAAAATTTTAAACGCTCAATTCTCTGTCATCAAACATGGTGTATCGATTTCAACTTGATGCATTACAAAGTCTCTAAGTACTTGTCCTTTGGCACCAAAAAGGTTTTTCTTAAACTAACTTCCTCGCCCGCTGCGCAGTTTTAGGTGTTTCCTGAACAATTTTTTTTCTTCGAGTTGTTGTGTTTTCGAACTCACTGATTCAATTAAAAGCAGCACATGTTCCAATAAATTGCGATTACATGGCAAAGTTACTGCTATCAGATCGGAGTGATGCGTATGTTGTCGATTCTCTGCTCGAAGGGACTCCTCTATTTAAAATTTATTGGAGTAAAATCGCGATAAGGTGCACTTTTTTTAATTGCAAATTTCCTAACTGCCTTATACATAGAACTATTTGATCGTTTAAAATGGGAATTTACAAATCAAACGATGTAAAAATAATGCAATTTAAATGGGAAAATATTGCAATTTCTTCCCATTAACTTGTACCATTCTTTCAAATTTTCGTTGCTCTGTGCTCCCCGGGAACGGTATTATTGCATTTATGACAATTTTATGTTGAATGTATCTATTTCAGCATTCTTTTCTTTCTTTTGCAGAAATTATTTTGTGGTCTCTCCAACATTCGTCAAGGCGGCGTGCGAAGACTGAGAATTTTCACTTTGCATCAGAGCTGCTCCTGAATTCACGGATCATCGCTTCATCACGGTAAAATCTCTCCAACTCCTGCTCTCAGAATTAATTGCGAACGAATCGACCTTTTGTTTATTCTCTCAATTTTTCAAAGTGAGCTGGCACAGTATTCTTCCTCACCACCGATACAATAAGCAGTCGCCATTTAGGCGGATCTTAGTAAAATCAGTCTAACTCCATTCCGCGTTGCCTATAATTGTACCTCTCAGTTCGAAAACTACCAAACTCGGCACGGTGCTCCTAAAGAGGAACTCGAAGTTTGTCAAGAGACTCATGCATGGATTGCCTATTTTTCTACAGCGTTCAATGAGAATCATGCATTTGGTTATATTCATTGGCTGCGTGATAACCAGTGTCTGAAGTTTATTACTGGCTACTGGGTTTCTATTCCTGGGAATCCTATTGACTATATACATTATGTAATAAGGAATTAATATTTGTGGATCATTCATAAATGCACCTATATCTGTATAGAGAAAATCAAATTTGGAGAGGAGGAAGAGCAAAGAGAAGAAGAAGAAGAGGAGGAAAAAGAATGGAAAGAGGAGGGAGAAGAATGGGTATAGAAGAGAGTGAAGAATAGGAAGAAAAGAAGAGAAAGGAAATCAGGAAGAAGCAAGACAAGACAAGAGAGGAGAGAGAGGAACATGAAGAAGAGAGGAAAGAAAGGAGAGCACGACGAAGTGAGAGAAGACGATGAAGGGAGAGGGGGCGAGGGAGAAGGGGAAAGGAAGGGAGAGAAAAGAAGGAAGGGAAGAAGAGAGAAAAGAAAAGAAAGAGGAGGAAAGTTACAAGGAAAAAGAGGAAGGAGAGAATAAGGAGGGAAGACAAAGAGAGTAAATAAGAGAGAAAAGAGAGACGGCAGGAAAAGAGAGAGATAAAAGAGAGGATAATATGGAAAAGAAGAAAAGAGAAAGAAGATGATCAAGAGTAAGGGAAAGAAAAGAGGGAGAAGAACTAAAGATGTAAGAGGAACTAGAAGAAGAGAGAAACGATGAAGAACAAAAATAGCAAGGAGAGGGAGGGTTGGACAAAAAGGAAGATAGAGAAAAAGAAGCAGCACACATTCTGCATAAGAACATAAGAACATTGATGGCACTTGCGCTGTTTTAAAAATGAGCCTAAAATATTAATTCCTCATTGCAAAATATAATTTTACATAACTAGGAATAAAGTAATGTTATCAAAAAGATTTCAGTGTTATAATTCCTGAGCGGCAGGGATATATCTAACAAATGACTAAGGTGAACCTACTAGACCGCGTATCTCGTTTCGATTGTGCGAAGTCATCTGAATGGAGGGGAGTCATAGGGGATGAGGGGAAGAAAGAGGGATGATTAAAGTTTTCGTGAGTGTTCTACGTTTGGAAAATAAAGAAAATTTAAAATGAAATTTGTCATATTATTATCTTCATTCTATATTCTATCGACAATCTCCATTTCGTTCCGCTTTTTTTAAATTAGTAATGATAGTTTCATCCTTGTTAAATAATTTCCATAGCAATATATTATTCCATTTATACAATTTTCGTTCTGGGGCTGCAATGCTCCTTTCTCGAACATAAATTTAGAAATTTTGCAGCGCTTGGACGTCTCAAGATTTTCCATTGATTCCGCATGCGTAGCCTCTTGCATCAAAAAACTTTATCAATTAAGTGAGATTTATTCTGCTAGAGAAGAGGAGGAAGAAAAAGAGATAGAAGACAAGAGAAGAAAAAGAGGTAGAAAAAAGAGAAAAAAAGTGAAGAAAAGAGAAGAGAAGAGAAGAAAAAGAGGCAGAAAAAAAGAGAAGAAAAAGAGAAGAAAAATAGGTAGAAAATAGAGTAGAAAAGAGAGAAAAAAGAGAAAGAAAGAGATGAAAAGAGAGAAGAAAAGAGAGAAGAAAAGATAGGGGGAGAGATGAAAAGATAGGGGGAGAGATGAAAAGAGGGATGAAAAGAGAGATGATAAAAGAGATGAAAAGGGAGATGAAAAGAGAGATGAAAAGAGAGATGAAAAGAGAGATGAAAAGAGAGATGAAAAGAGAGATGAAAAGAGAGATGAAAAGAGAGATGAGAAGAGAGATGAAAAGAGAAAAAGAGAGATGAAAAGAGAGATGAAAAGAGAGATGAAAAGAGAGATGAAAAGAGAGAAGAAAAGAGAGAAGAAAAGAGAGAAGAAAAGAGAGAAGAAAAGAGAGAAGAAAAGAGAGAAGAAGAGCAGGAAGTAACGAGAGAAAAGGAGAAAAGAAAGAAGAACAGGATGAAGAGAAAGTAGAAAAGAACAAAAATTCAATTAACTTTCGTACTTTACTTTTCAGTCCCTCCCCCTCAGGGATTTTAAATATTCTAGCGCCCAGTATTATTAGAACGGGGGGCGTACGATACCGCAGCTTTTGGTTTGGGGTCGCAGTAGTGCTTGCACTTCCGTTGGACGGTCGGCAGCCATGGCATCCGTTGAAGGCCGAAACCACGACCCAGGACCCGGGTGCACGGCAAGGCCTGAGGGCGGTAGAGGAAACCCCTTCGGCAGATAAAATATGTCTGAGTTGGCAGGGGTCCATGATGTCGGGACGAATAATTAAAACCTCTTTCTCATCTCTGTTTTTTTTCGTTTAGTTTTTGTTAAAGAGTGGATGGGTGTAGGTCTAATGGGTAGGTATGGGACTATTTTCTTCTTAACTTTTCTTGATAATTCAAACGCACAATGCTCACGAAAATTCTATACCCTCCTCTTTCACCAATAACTCCCATCCATTCATGTGACTTCATATGATTATCTTCATTTCGTTTCTCATCTTTTTAATTAGTAATGATAGTTGCACAATTGGTAGTTATTTTTCCTAACAATAAATTACAGCTCCTTAC